GGGGCGGGGCTGGGGTGGGCGTGTTCCCAGGGAGGGAGGTTGGAGAGTCTTCCCGCCTCTACACGTTCGTTCGCAGGGACCTGGTGGGAGTTGCAAAAAGCACCCAACTTGGCCCTGGTCTTCAAGTCTTGGTCTTACCACTTACTATCTGTGTGACTGTGAAAGGATACTCGACCTCCCTGGGAAGTTTCCTCACCTATAAAATGAGCATGGCAGTAACACCCTCCATCACAAAGTCGACATGAGATTTAACAGTTAAATTTGGAGAAAGTGCACAGAATACCATACTTGGAGGGTAAATAGCTTTTCTTCCTCCACCCCTTCTCATCAGCCCAGCTTCTTTGCCCTCCAGATCTATAGGTAGGGTAGACATGGAATACAGTCCTGGACATTCTCCTAAAAGCAGAATGGTGACATTTAAATGCCCACTCTGGAAAAAAACAAACAAATAAACAAAAAACAAGGTTAGTATAGCTAATTTTTATAAGCATATTTTTCATTTTACTTAAATACATTTTAAGATTGCAAACTAAATTATTTAATATCATTTAAAGACATTTTTATATCTCCTTAATCTGTAGTAATTCTCTCTATAACAATAAATAATAAGTGAAATTTAAAACCAAAAAAAAAAAAAAAGCCCACTCTGGGGACAGGCCCAGGACATTTCTGTCCCCTGCAGAAGCTGGCAGCTGTAAGAGGAAGTTTCTTCCCAAGCCTGAGCCTAGGTTTTAAAGAGTCTGTAAAAAGCATACACAGAGCTGTATACTCAGGGCATACAACTGGTTAAAAACGTGGCAGCCAGAAGAACATGTCCGAATGGGGATGCTTTCCAAGTCTACCTGGAAAGCTGCAAGACTTCAGTCATATAGGACAGTACGTTTAAGGCAGGATTGCCTAAGCTTTACAGGGTCCTGGGCTTGGGGTAAAAATTTTAGGCCAGAGAAGAGGCTGGAAGTCACAATTTTGCTTCAATCAAAAATGTGAACTCTGAATAGAGCATCAAACATTTATAAGTTTATAACTTATAACAAAGTTTATAAACAAGAGAGAGAATGTTGTCTGACCCCTGGACAAAATCAGGCTACATCCACACAAGGAATGCAGCAGCTGTAGGGATGAAGGAGACCCCGGGAAAGAGGGGCACTCCGAAAATCATGCTGAAATCCCCAGTTTGCAGCCAAAGGACGAGAGGGAGCGTTTTGCATTTCTATAGTCTTGAAGAACATGGACAGAACAGTCTTGTTCACTCATCTGCAGTAATTACACAAAGTAGGGGAAGGCTTTTTAAAATCTTGCAAGAAACAAATTCAGGAAGAGGGGAAAGTGTCTGATTGTCCCCTGCAGGTCGTAAACTGATGGAGCAGATTACCTCTAGGAGGCTGTAGAAGCCAAAATTACAGATGGAAAAGATAACTTGATTAATAAATGTCTACAGATCTCGCCCAGATTGTAGAATAGGATGCAGGGGGTGCGATCCAGCCTCCTGAGGTGGAAGACAGAAAGCTCACACCCACTCTCACCGTTTCACAGACCTGGGAGCTGAGCACCAGGGGGGGAAATGATGGTCCAAAGTCCCAAAGACCATAGGAAGAAAATCTGGCAGTGTCAGGGCTCTTCCTGCTTCTCCCATGTTAAAAAGAGAAGAAAGGGGAGTGAGGGAAGACGAGGAAGAGGAAGAAGATGAAGGAAAACGGCACACCGACAACAATCCACAGATGACAGGAGAAGCAAGGCTTAGGGAGAACGAAGAGCATCACTTAGAAGGTGACGTACCTCGTATCCTCTAGTAAGAGGAGAAGGTGCAAACGGAAACTCATTTTCCATTTGAAAGCCCACCAAAATTCGTCCATAACTCACCTTTCCAGCTTACTTTCCCCAGAATCAGTAATCACTGGAGATTCAGTAGGTTCATCACATTCTAGGGCCCCATGCCCTTCCCAGGCCCCCTTTTCTCTTCCTGTCATCCATCTTTCATTCAGTTAATGTAACCATCTTCTGTCCATGCTCATGCCTCACATCCTGTTCACAGGAAAAGCTCCAGAGTCATCCTCCCAGCCACCTGTTGGCTTCAGATCTTGCTTCACTCACCCATTGTTCCTCCATGCTGTAGCTAGATTCATCTTTATACTGTATAAAGCTGATCAGAGGACCCTTCCAGATTTAATATCCAGGATGCTACACCCTACCGTTATTTATCCTACTACCTCTCTCATAACAGCAGTCCTGCCCAATGCCGTTCCTCAGGCTGGAAACCAAAGCCCCCAACCCTGGTGAAATTTTGGAAAGCCTACCGTAATTGCTGGCCACGACTCACCTTCCCAGCTTACTCTCCCTAGTACATCACATTGTATTATTTACTATTCCCAGACTCTGCCATGAGCTTTTTGGCCTCCACAGCCTCATTCATGTAGGTTACACCATCAGAACACTATCCCCAGGTGCTAATCCTGTCTTTGAAGGTTCAGCTCCAAGTTGACTTCCTCCATGACTCCCCGGAGTGAATTTCCAACAACAATTGTTGGTCCTTTCCAACTTAATTCATTTTACAAATGAGTAATTAGAGCCAGGAGGCTGGGGTTGACTCATTCGTGGTCATATGTTCCCAAAGTCAGCCAGTTCCAGAAAGGAGAACTCCAGAGCCGTCATCCTCAGTTGTCCACCCTCTTCTCCTTCCTCGTCTTTGCCTCCAGCCCTGTCTGTCCTGATGCCCTGCCCATCTCTCCTGCTGACTTCTTCCCTTCTTTCTCCATAGAAATCAATGGGACCCAGATTTGCCCCAATGATGTAGTCGCCTTCCACGACTTCTCCTCAGATCTGGAGAACGTGCCACACCTCCGCTACCTGCGGCTGGATGGGAACTACCTGAAGCCGCCCATCCCGCTGGACCTCATGATGTGCTTCCGCCTGCTGCAGTCCGTGGTCATCTAGGCCTCACTCCACCCCTGGAGCGCCTCCGACCGCACTGGAGTGCGGTGGTCCAGGCGCCTGTGCCCATCATCTTTTCTCTGTCTCCTCTTCTTGCTCCCAGCTTTGCCTTTCTTATCGCATCTTCCTGAGGCAGGGACAAGAAGCTGCAGCTTCTAGAGCAAGACTCCTAAAGGCTTGATTTGGTCCACCCAGCTCAAAGACACCCCCTGCACACCCAGATTTCTGGCCCCACAAGCACAGATGTGTGTCTAAAGATTTCATATTCTCTTCTCTCTCCTCTTCCCCTCACCACTCCTGGGTAAGTCTGGGCCATGGACTGACATCTGGATCTTGGTCCTGGTTAAAGCAAACAGAAGACGGTCAGGGGCAGCCTGGAGGTGAGGTTTGGAAAGTCCTGCTGGAAACCCCTCATCGTGGGCAACTCTGGCCCCAAAAGGCCGAGCGACCCGGGTCCCCTTGGCCAAGGATTCCACCTCCCAAAACTGCCGCTCCACCGCCCTGTTCACTGGCTCCAGACGTCTCACCGGCTCTCTGCCAGCCTGTGTTCTCCAGAAGAAAGTGCAAGGGAACAGCCGAGGGAGGGTGGAGGGTCAGGGATTTGCACAAGGGCCTGCATCCGGCTTTCTCTTCACAGGAACGAGATGGGGCCCTTCTCAGCACCCAGACTCCTGGATGGGCCTCTCTATTCCAAGAGTAAGAGCAGGGAGGAACAGTCAAGAAGAAGGATGACTCAAAAACCTAGGAATCAGCCAGTGGGAGAGGGGTGGGAGTCAGGGCCGCAGGGTGGACCCTGGTGAGTGCAGCCATCTTTCAGCATCCTTGGCCACTCTGGACAGGAGCCCTGATGCCCTGGGGAACACAATGTCCACAGTGGAGGGTACAGAGCCACCAACCTCGCCCCACCATCTGTTCTCTATCAGTGGGGATGGCCCAATCCTTTCCACTCCCGGGGAAGCAGCTCCCACGCAAGGGGCGGAGCACCTGGAAATCTCCCAGAAGCCTCTGCCTCTCATGCAGATCAGCTTCTCCTTCTAAGACAGACACAGCAGTGACACCTGGTGGTCGGTGCAGGTCACAGCTGGCTCCTGTCTTGCTCCACATCTCTCACTGGTGTGATTTTCCAACGTCAAGGAGTTGGCCTCGGGTTCCAACTTGAGACCCATGGGCCATGGACATGGTCTCTATCTCCTCTGGGGTCTAAATGGGACAAAGATACGGGGGCCTCAAGGTGGGGGGGCCCTGATTACCATCATGGATGAGCGCAGGTGGGGAACCTGCAGGAACCCAGGTGAGGATACAGTTTGTTCCCATCTGCTGTCTGACCTTGCGGGTCCCTTCTGCTCTCGGCTTCCAGATCTGTCAACGATGGAGGTGGATGAGGCCCCTCCAAGGACGCTCCAGCTTTCCTGCTCCTGTATGCAGCTCCACCCTTTAGACCATGCTCTGATGCAGGATTATTCCCTTCCCTTGCAATAATTTATTCCCTGTATGGGCGGTCCTTCCCTCTAAGTTCCCACGCTCCCCACTGGCCTGGGTGAGCACTGTGACAGCCCCCAGGTGGAACCTGGGTCCGGCAGGGCTGACTCACCTCCGCTGTCCCCTTCACTTCCTCTCGGAGATGCTGCCCCTCTACAGAGCCTTGAGTGTATGATGGTGGGGGTGGGGGTGGGGAATGTTCTAGAAATGAGTAGGATACAGGGCCCACTCTCAAGTTAGGTTGAGAAAAAGTTCAGAGGTTCTTAAATTGGATTAAGCTGGGTCCCCGCTTCAAGAAATTCCTGTTATACTATTTTCCACCTCTCTCTTTTGCTAATTTACAGAACAGGGGGCCCGTTTCATCACAGCCTCCTTCCCCCATGCTCCCATACAACTGCTTCATTCCTTCTAGCGCAGCTGGTTTCTCCAAGGCTCCTGCTTAAAGTCAATATAGTATTGTGGCTGGAAGCAACCTGGTGCGATGGCCTGGATAAGCCCCCTTTCCCACAAGCTCCATGGGCTCCCCGGGGCGGAGGAGTCATTCCCCTGCTCCTGCAAACCTGAACAGTTTTCTTTCAGCAACGCAATCATCCTCATCCCACTGCCCCGCCAGAATATGTCTGTCTCCTCCATTGCTCTCTGCAGCTGTAAACCAGAGGAAGCTACATTGGCTGTACAGCATCGCCACCCTCACCACACACAAAATGTGCTGGTTTCCCTTGGATTTAAGGAGGCCCCCTCCTCCATACACAAATTCATTCCTTCAGTGCTGTTGGCATTTGCATATACAGGTGTGCAAGTAAGTGCATATGTGTACTCTGTACATATATCTATTCATTCTTACAGACCACGTTAACTTTGTGGAACAACTTTACATTCCAACACGCTTCACAGCAGAGGAAATAAAGTAATATGAAAAATACCCAACTTGAACTTGACAATGTGAACAAGTCGAGAATAGTACCTTATAGCCATCTGGCCGCCCCTCTCCCCCAGCATTCCACCATTTACTTGCTCTGAGAAGATGGGTGGAGAAAGGACCTTATTCTTAGGAAACTTTAGAAAATGACTTCAGACTTTTCTTGGTGAATTTCCCCAAAACTCACAACCGTCATGAAACATCTTCCCTAAAATCTGACAAGAAATCTGACAGCTACATTTGAAGCCAAAGCCTCAGGTTCTTTCAACCCACAGAGACCAAATTGTTGAGGGTCTCCCAGATTCTCAGGACTGAGCCAGATACAGAAACACACAAAAACAGACAGCGTTCCTGACCAGAAAAAGCTTACAGACTAATTGAGGATGTGTAGGGTGAGACACACAAAACCGTGGCAGATGTTAAGGGTGGAGAACAAAGGACAAGCCACCCCATCTGGAGTGGTCTACAGGTCACACAGATGTCCACAGAAGGGCAAGAGCAGGTGCCCTGGACTCTCTCTCCAGATAGGAGGTTGGTTCCAGAACCGACCCAGTAATCCTCCCGGCTTACTGCATCTTCTTTCGGATGAAAACTGCCAGATGCTGTCCCATCCCTCCCACTCTGCCTCCTAAATTCCCACTTCAGTGCAATTCAGCAAGTTTTCAGCAGGTATCAACTATGTGCAAGGTTCCCAGCTAAGAATTCAAGGAGAGGTAATATATACCCCGTGCCCTTGAGGAATTCATAGCTTGCTAAAGGGAAAAATCCATGAATTAGTCACTGCATGTCTTCAGTGTTTGCAATAATGCCGAGTACAAAGAGCGTGGTGGACAGGACCGCTGCCCCTGCCTGGGAGAAACGGAACAGCCCCTATCATTTGAGCTGCGTCTTAAGGTTTGAATCAGATTTTGCCAGGTGGGAAACGAGGAAAAAGCACATAAGCGGAAAGGGAACCAGCATAAGAAAAGGTTTGGAAGACACGGAGTGTACCATGTGTGGGTGTGTGTGGGTGTGGGTGTATCTGTGTGTCTGTCTGAGGAAGGGCGAGGAACACGTTCCAGTCAGGGTCGCGTGGCTACAAGCCCTCAGCAGGGAATATGCCCCATGCCCAATTTCCCTGAAACTTCCAGCATCGCCTCTCTCCCTGCCCGCGAAAGGGGCAGCAACAGGGTCAGCTGGCCAGACTTCCGTCCCCACGGCCTGCCACCTCCATTCCATCATCATGCCTCGTGCTTCTCCTAATGAGATTCGGATTAGACCGGCTCCCCGCACCTCCCGCCCCCCTTTCCGGGCTCCGTGGGAGCTGAGCTGCCTGGAACAAACAGCACGATGCTCAGACGGTTCCCACGCAAGTCACACATACACATCCCATGGACCCTCCCAGAAATCCATGGGAACCAGAGCGGATGACGGGCGCGCTTGTGAAAAGGAGAGTGGAAGCTGGGAGAAGGTCCAGGATGCGCAGCCTTCGTCAGAGGCGGCTGGGTTCCGGGAGTGGGGGTGGGGTGGGGGGAGGCGGGGGTGGGGGAGTCGGCGCGTGCGCGCCTGAAGCCGGCTGCGCGAGTGACGCAGGGCTTGCCAGCGTGTTGGGGAGTCCGGACTGCAGGGGGCACCTCGTTAGAGCCCGGGTAGCAGGGGTGCTGGCGGGGGTGCACCACCGAGAAAGCGGGAGGGAGGGTGGGAGCAGACTGCAGGGGAATGAATGAACAGCCGCTTTTGCATTCTTCGCGGGGAGGTGGGGGGGTGCAGGCTGGGGGGTTGTGGGGGAAGGCATCTGGCTGCCAAGCCCAGGCTGTGGAGAGAGAGTAGAGGAAGACAGCCCGCTACATGGTCGATCTGCTTACTGGGCGCCCTCCTGGCTCTGGGGCTCTCTCCTTCCACCCAGCAGAGCCCTTGTTTTTGTCTCTCCCCAGGTGGGAGGGCGCTGTCAATGGCACAGGAACAAGTGTTGCCCTGGTGACCCGGTGCTTGGGCTGGGGAAGGCCCTCCAGACCCGCTGGTGCCCGGGAACACTGTGGGCCAAGCCCCTGCCCCTTGGGCCAGCCTGTTAGCTCTGCACCTTCGCCTGGTGTGTCAGGGCAGCCAAGGCTGTCTGTTCTGAGGGCTCCAGAACACCTGGTCTCAAGACTCACGGGATGAGGCAAAGACGGGGAGGGTCGTATGAATGCAGGCGACTTCTCTGGCCCGAGAGTCAGGAAATCTGGGAACTGGGCCCGGCCCCGTGTGATCTTGGACAAGTAGCCTCACCTTACTGGGCTTTGGTTTCCCCACCTGTACGATAAAAGTTTTGGATGAAATGATCTTACGGGGGACCTTGCAGCTGGAATTCAGTATCTGGTCAGTGGGAGAAAGGAGGGTGAAGGAGCATCATTTGAGGACCTGGGCAAACGTGTGCAGACTGGCAGGATCTTGGGGACGACATCTCAGCCCCCTACCCCTGCCTTCAGCAAGGGCTTGGCCTGCAGCAGCCTAAGGCATCAGGGAAAGCAGAGTCTCTCCTGATGAACACGTCTCTGGTACAGGACCACGGAGGTGGGGGGATTCCCCTCAGCCCCCCAAGGACCCCACACAATGCCTGCTGGTGTGTATGATCAGGAAGCTTTTTCCTAGGGCCCGGCCTAGCAGATTTGGAGAACTTCCTGTCTCTTCCTTCCAGTTGTCATCAGAGAGCTTGAAGTTGGCTTGCAAATCCTACCCCATCCCCCATTCACCTTCTCTTTGAATCTCCCTCCCTCCTGTGACTTTTGTTCAGTTCTGGTTCCGTCCTGGGGCTCCAGGTGGTGGGTGGCAGTTCGGATCAGAGCACGGCAGCTTAGCCTTTTAATCTTCGGATTCCATCTGTGAAGCCAAAGCCTCATCGTTCTCTGGCAGGAGAAAAAAGCTGGAAAGGCAAGCCCCACCTATCCACATACCCTCATGCTGCTTCTTGGAGGGTACAGAATCTGAGGGGTGGGGCTCCCCTTAGGGGATGGGAGCTGCCTGCCCCTCAAAGAGAGTGGGCCAGACAGAGAGAGAGGGCATGGACAGAGAAAGAGAGGAAAAGACGAGGATGGGAGGTGGGGAGAGATCTGGGAGTTGGGTGGGTGGAGGGAGGGAGAAAAAAATTCTCTGGAACCAAGAAAAGGAGTGGGATGTGGGGGACCTGCTGAGAAAAGAGGAGGGGAATCAGCTGGACATCAGGAAAAAGAGAAGTCTGATTGGCCACACGCCTGCCTTGGCCAACTCCCCCGTCCTCCCCAGGCAGCTGTCTACCCAGGCCCCTCCGTGTGTCTTGACTTTTCCATCGGAGTCCCCACGCCTCTGGAAGCCGTGAGGCTGGACTTGGAACTTGAAGAGTCTACAAGGTAAGGTTCAAGATCTTGAGGCTTTAGGCCCATTGGCACAGCAATGAGGGGAGGGGGCCTGGACTGGGCAGGAGGAACCAAAGAGAGGTTGGTGGGGAGGCAGTAAACTGTCTTAGGACTATTTGTTTAAGATTTTTTTTTAAGATTATATAATTTGGTTTGAAATAAGTTATGGGAGATAAATTGAAGAGACACCTCTTGCTACTGATGGGGGCTTAACCCCTTGCCCAGTTAAAATAAAGAAGGGGAGAGAATGTACTGGAAACTCTGGGGAGGGGGCTGCATTCTCAGAAATACACTGGGTTCCTCACACCCACACCACACACATTCCCTGACCCACTTGTGCATACGTGGATGAACTTAGGTTAACATTTGAACTCACCTGTACACGCTTTCTGGCTGTGTACACGCTCCCACAACCACTCACAAAGGGCTCTTTTGTTCCTGTACTCATTCATTTCTTAAAAACCTGCATTTATAAATCCATTTTATAAACTAACATCGTTTACACTGGAATAGGTTTTTAAGCCTATGTCCCTTAAATGAACGGAGTAATGCCGGGACCACTGGTCTGTTTCTGCAGCCCCAGAGACAAGTCCAGTGCCTGCAGCTAGTAAGAAACCCACACGTGTTTGTTGAACAAAAGCACGAATGAATAAATAACCTTTTTAAAAACCACAGGACTCCTTGATGGTGAATTTTCTCTAAATCTAGTTAGTGGCTAATGGCTGTACTCTGAGTGGTTGTGTAAGAGAGAGCATCTCTGTAAATGCCCAAGTGTGTGCCTAGTTAGCAGCGAGGGATGTAGACAAGGGGACATGCGTGAGTGTGTCTGTGCTGAGATGGAGAAACCAGCCTTTGCCAGGTGCCTGCACACATACGTATCAGTGTGTGGATGAGCGTGTAAAGAGACTTACGTGGACTGAGGGGGGCTGGCAGGAGATACCGGCCCGGTAGCCCCAGCCTTGAGGTTGCGTGCACACGCAACGAAGGCACTGAGTGTGTGACAAATGGCTTAAGAGTCTGCAGGTGTGGGAGTGGGAAGAGGGGTGAGTTTGTGAGCTCCTTCCTCAGGAATGGACACCAAGGTGATTTTTTTCCCCATTCTCATCCCACGCCCCACCCCCAGGCCCGCCATGAAGCCCCCGGCCTTCCTGAGCCTGCTGGTCCTGATGCTGCAGGGAGCAGTGTCTCTCCCAGAGGAGGAGAGGGGCAGCAGAGAAGGCCAGCTGGGTGGGGAGGGGGACTCCAACACAGCTCTGCGTCTAGGGGACCGCGTCCTCGCTAACCTGAGCCACTATGATGAGCCCGTGGACTCCGAGGACCAGCTCCCCAAGGTGAGCGGTGTGCAGCAGCCCGGCTGCCCTCCCTGCAAGAAACGTGGAGCCAGAGGCCTGGTGCCTGTCCACCTCCATGATGCAGGTGACTCAAGCCTCCGTCTTTTCCTCGGAGGTGGGAATTCTTGTCTCTCCAGAGTATCCACTTAGATACCACTCAGACAGAGGGCACAAAGCTTCCATTTTTGTGGGATTTTTTAGCAAATTTGGTGGGACTTCCCTTAGAAATCAAACATCCCTCCCCATGCCTTCAAGTAAGACCATCAGGCTCCGCTCACTGGGACGTCAGCTGTCACCCGTCTCCTTAGAAAAAGAAGTCCCGCAACCCCTCTTTTCTTAGACCGTCTTCATTTGAAGTTCTTCCTCAGCCCTTGCTGGCCTTCTCGGGGCTGCTGTGAAGCCCGAGCTCACCAGCTGTCTGTGTGAGCCTGGTCTGCGCGGGGGAGGGGAGAGAGTCCTGGGAAGTCCGGAGATGTGGGTTCGGGCTCCGCCACCAGCTTGGCCACCAGCTGGCTCCTTGGTCTCAGCCTTGCCCCTCTCTGGGCTTCCATTTCCTCAACCGTGATGTGAGACCCGATGCTGAGAAGGTCCTGGCCCTGCTCACTCCTTCTGCTGCCCCTCCCTCTTTCTCCACGGTGACTCTCGGTCTATTTGACACTGGTTGCTGAAGTTCCCAGAGTCCAGAGTGAAGTCCCTCTCAGGCAAAAGCTGTCTTATCGTATGCTGTGTTTCCAGGTCAAAGGGACCAGCCTGGCTTCTTCAACTGGGATGAGTTCTGCTCAGAGCACGAGGGCCCCAGGGACAGCCCTTTCAAGCCCCACAGTGGCCAGGCCCACTGTGCTGGGCCTGCCGGCGCCCCCGATCAGCCACGGTGAGTTCACGTGCACAGGCCCCCATATCCACAGGTCGTGGGCCACATAGCCGTGACCCAGCACCGGGGCACCGAGGAGAAGTGGAGTCAGAGCTAGGGAGTGGGGGGTCAGGGCTAACCCTTGCCCGCGGGGAGAGGAGGGGAAAAAACCAAAGGGAGAGGCTGGCTGTCCCTGCCACTCTGTCTGAGCGCACGTACTGGCCAGGAGGCAAAGGAGTGCAAGTGCCTAGCAAAGCCACCTACCTTAATTAACAGCACCGCTGGGGGAGCAGGTTGAGTGGTAATTAGATTAGAGACAATTAAAAGCCTGTAGAGAAGAATAAATAACTTCATGGCTGCCATTTGACACAGGAGCCAATGAAGCAGTCACACTGCTTGTCAGCTGGAATTCCCTCCTTAGCAGTTTCCCCCTCCCTGAGGCCCTCCCCGGAAGCCCTCCTGGAGCCCAGGATGCTGGTGTATCTGGAGGAAGGGGTTGGCACCCTGCTGGGGATCAGAACTGAGGCAGAGCGGGATGCAGTTAGCTCCTGGCTTCCTTGCTCTCAGGTCCCAGTCTCCTGAGATGTTCACTTTGGGTGGGCAGAGCTTACTGGGGTATCAGGAGAGAAAACACTTCGGTCAGGATGCTGGGTTCTCCCAGGCTTGAAGAGACCAGAAAGGGCCTCAGCTGGACCTGCCATTCAAGGCCTGGGGATGAGAAGGTGCTGGGGCCTCTCTGCTCCAGGCACACTGTCTGGTCACGACTGATGGGGAAGAGCTGTCTCTTCATCTTGGGTCTGTGTCAGCGCTGACTGAGCTCCCCTGTGAGTTGGGTGAATGGTGTCTCCAGTCATCTCTGTCCCTTGTACTCACAAGAGATGGAAACCTCCTGCCCATTCAGCAAAACCTTCCCAGCTTTGTAAAGCCAACCTGAGCCCAGTGGCCTGGCTGCAGGCTCGTGGCCACTGGTCCTGAGCCGGGGGGTGTGTTTCCCACTAGAAAACCAAGGTGCTGATACCATCAGAAGGAAGAATGAACACTGGGCAGACAGCGTCCACTCTCCCTTGGCTCTACGATGCTTTTTGGAGCCACACAGAATGTGTGTAACTCCTCGCCCACAAGGCGGAGAGCAGAGCCAGCAACCGTGGGCCATTCCACTGAATTCTGGCTTTATTTCATTTTGAGTGCACCGTTTGAGATCAGAGAGGAGCCCTGTGGAAAAGAGACTGATGGCCTAGAAACACCCACATAGGCTGGGGAAACCTATATAGGACCAGGGTCTGATGAAGGTGCTAGTGAGCATGGATTGTAAGGAGTCCAGGGCTAAGTGCCAGGCTGGGAGTGGCCAACAGCACTGCCTGCTGCATCGTGACAGTCAGTCCAGGCAGCAACCCAAGAGGA